CCCCCCCCAAGTACGTTAGGCTTCGTTTTCGTCTTTGGACAGGCCTTTCCCCCAGTTCACTAAGTAGTGGTCATATTTTCCTGCATGTACTCTCATTTCAATATCTGTTGCAGAGGAAAGCAGGTGACAGTGCTCATCTTTTATCGCTTTCCCCACTTGTTTGCGCTCTTATATAACTGATTTTGAAGGACATTTGGGTTTTTGTAGAAGGCTGTAGTAGCTGGTTATTATTACAGTAATGTTAATAAGTCGTGTCAAGGCTGTTGAATATGTAAATAGTCACGACGCGTACGATGCCCCGCCCACTCACGTTCCATCGGAACGCCCCGCCCACCTGGGAAAGGAAAACATGTCTGGTAGGGATTCATGACAGGACTGTTGAGGCATTGTAAGCCATGTGTTGAGCTGTTTTAATTATCAGCCAGTGATGGGAGGCTCTGGAGTTGGCCGAGTCTGTCTTAAGCTGACCCTTGACCCTATTTATCTCCTTTCATGCATTCCTGGTCTTTTTGTGCATGATTCATCATCGACATTTTTATAACATCACACTGAGTGTTGTCCATTTATATCAAATGTCATTATCAGAAATAATGTTGAATTAGTTCATTGAAATGTCATCATTTCTGAACTCGTAACTACACAGGCCTAGATAAAATATTGATCAATTCAGGTAGCGGATAACATAATTTTGGCCCACACTTTTAAATATCTAAGCCATATTTGGAGGATTTTTATGGCCTGATTCTTGATAATTTCGGACCCCAATTCAGATGCATTTATATCCTATTAATGTAAGTCGCGCTTAAGTTGCAAATATTTCCAATGGTGCTGTGTAAACATAGCATGCATTATTGAATAAAGAGATTGCTGGCTTGGTCTTGACAGCATCCAGATGCAAAAAAATCTCATTGCAGCTCCAACCCATGCTAATTACTTTTTTGCAACAGCGTAACACCTTGTATCTCTGTGTGCATTATCTAAATTTCCCCATGAGTACATGGCTCATATGTTCAATACTGAGAAAGTGCTATGTGGTTAAAATGGTGTAATAATTATTGAGTTTTCTTCCATTTCCTATTGTTTTTGCCCTCAAAGTTTAACACAGAAGACACCAAGTTAGTCATCAAACCAGTAATCTCACATACTTAGTCACTACATCATCCCATTGACAAACATTGACTTTGTATTAACTATGTAGAAACAATCGTTTTGTGTTTCAAAGCACACTAAGGTACCATAGTTCCATCTTTTGCATGCTCCATGCTGCGTTATGCTATTTAATGCCATTTAGCTATATAAAATCCCAAAGATCTTGGTTTCCTTCTGTAGTGTCATGGCCTAATTTAGTAAAACTGAGATCTTCAGACACTCAGTGTTATTGTGTCCTTGTTCTCACTTCAAACTTTAATGCTTGGAAAACTTGGG